AAATGTGAGCCGACAGTGTGCGGCGGCGGCCAAAAAAAGCCATTGCAATCCTAAGTTGCATTAACAGGGGGATTCAATCAAGATCACGTGAGGTACTAATACCACTCTACCAAGCCTTAGTAAGACCACACCTAGAATACTGCAACCAGTTTTGATCTCCACACTATAAAAAAGATGTTGAGACTCTAGAAAGAGTGCAGAGAAGAGCAACCAAGATGATCAGGGGACTGGAGGCTAAAACATATCAAGGACGGTTGTTGGAATTGGGTATGTCTAGTTTAATGAAGAGAAGAACGAGGGGGGACATGATAGCAGTCTTCCAGTGTTTGAGGGACTGTCACAGAGAGGAGGAGGGGGTCAAGCTATTCTCAAAGCACCTGAAGGCCAGACAAGAAATAAGGGATGGAAACTGATCAAGGAGAGATTCAACCTAGAAATAAGGAGAAACTTCCTGACAGTGAGAACAATCAACCAATGGAACTGAAGTTGCCTTCAGAGGTTGTGGGAGCTTCATCACTGTAAGCTTTCAGGAAGAGACTGGACTGCCATGTGTCAGAAATGATGTTGTAGGGTGCCGCTTGGGCAGGCGGGTAGGACTAGGTGACCTACAAGGTCCCTTTCTATTCTATTCTTTTCTATTCTATATTCCAATATCTATTCTATATTCTATTCTATTCTATATTCCAATATCTATTCTATTCTATTCTATTCTATTCTATTCTATTCTATTCTATTCTATTCTATTCTATTCTATCATTCTATATTCTCTTCTCTTCTATTCTGTATTCCTTATTCTATAATTCTATTCTGTTCTGTTCTGTTCTATTCTATTTTATTCTGTTCTATACTATATTCCAATATCTATTCTGTTCTATTCTATTCTATTCTATTCTATCCTATCCTATTCTATATTCCAATATCTATTCTATATTCTATTCTATTCTATATTCCAATATCTATTCTATTCTATTCTATTCTATTCTACTCTACTCTACTCTACTCTACTCTACTCTACTCTACTCTACTTATTCTATCTTATTCTATATTCTCTTCTACTCTATTGTATTCTATTCATTATTCTATTCATTATTCTATTCTATTCTATTCTATTCTATACTCTACTCTATTCTATCATTCTATCTTCTCTTCTCTTCTCTTCTCTTCTATTCTGTATTCCTTATTCTATTCTATTCTATTCTATTCTATTCTGTATTCCTTATTCTATTTCTATTCTATTCTACTCTACTCTATTCTATCTTATTCTATATTCTCTTCTACTCTACTCTATTGTATTCTATTCATTATTCTATTCATTATTCTATTCTATTCTATTCTACACTCTACTCTACTCTACTCTATTCTATCATTCTATATTCTCTTCTCTTCCATTCTCTTCTCTTCTGTATTCCTTATTCTATAATTCTATTCTATTCTAATTCTATTCTGTATTCCTTATTCTATTTCTATTCTATTCTACTCTACTCTACTCTACTCTACTCTACTCTATCTTATTCTATATTCTATTCTATTCCAATTTATATTCTATTCTATTCTATTCTATTCTATTCTATTCTATTCTATTCTATTCTATTCTATTCTATTCTGTATTCCTTATTCTATAATTCTATTCTATTCTATATTCTACTCTACTCTACTCTACTCTGTTAAGGTTGCAGAAGAAAAGCAAATCTAATTGCTCAGATCTTTGAGCCTGCACGGTCAAGGACCAGGGTCACCTGAGCCATTGTAATTGTATTGGCTCAGGTGAGCCTGTTTTGTTGTATCTTGTTGCCGTACAATTGTCTTTTGTTGCTCTGTTCAGCTAGTTCTAATCGTGGGGCACTCCAATTGAATGACAGCCTAATCATCTCTTCCATGGAGGGAAACTCTCCGTGCAGCTTCTCAGATCCTGTTTTGTGGTTCATTGTGTGGATAGAAATGTTTGTGCTTTGAATCTACGTTGTTTTGATAAGGCTTCTACTTTCACCCACTTTCCTGTTTACAGACATGAAATGGGAGTCCTGAGAGAAATAGTTTGTATTACTACCTACAAGGCTGACAGAATTGCAAAAGCAGTTTCTCCACAAAGTTCACATCAACTATTGCCCAAATTAAAATTTATGGAGGTCCCAATAAACGTACGTCACTTTCCAGAGTAAGGACGCATAAATAATTCTTTACTTGCTTGCTCATTTTGGTGGGAAAGGCTCAGAGAAAGGGATTTAAAATTTGGAAGAGGGGAATGTGAAAAAGTTCTTAGAGAGTGATGTGGAAGCATTATGTCATGTGGATCGTAAAATAAGATGAAAATTGCTTTCTCTCCCATCCAAAGGTTTGCAGATTTTTTCACAATACAGACATGACAAAAGAAGCTAATAGATTTATTATTATTATTATTTATTGAATTTATATACCGCCCTATCTCCCTTACGGGACTCAGGGCGGTGAACAGGCGATAATAAAAACCACGATTTGCGTTGTCGCCCCTATCAAATCCTTCTTAAAGTCTATAGCAGGGGTGTCAAACTCAATGTCACTTGAGGGCCACATCAGCATTGCGGTTGCCCTGGGGGGGGCTGGGTGGGTGTGGCCAGGGTGGGTGTGGCCTACTGGGTGGGCGTGGATGGAGTGGGTGCGGCCTACTGGGTGGGTGTGACCAGTTCTACATCATTCGCGTCAAGGGTGCCTGTGGGGTCCTGGGCAGGAGTGGGACAGATCTGAGGGTCTCTGGCATATGGGGGTGGGACCGGGGCAAGTGCCAAGATGGCCACCACAAAATTGTACATGGGCTCCCGGCTGGCCTGGGCCAGGGCCAAGGCAGCGGGGGCCGTTCCCTCACTGTTTCCAGGAAGGCTTCACGGGTCACATGAAACTACTTTGCGGGCCGCATCCGGCCTCCGGGCCTTGTGGTTTGACATGTCTGGTCTATAGTATACACCCTGTTCTGTCATGCATCTCTCAGTAAAACAAAGCTGTCAAGAGTATGTTGAAAATTAATTTACAATATTATCCGCAGGGTATTTCCAGAAAGAATAATATTTCCTGCCTTCTTACTTCCTATTTTAAAATAATCCATCACATTTGATTATGAACGAACGAACTGGTGATTGTATAAATTCTGCTATGTGTGTATTAGGAGGAATGATGACGTGAGAGATTAATTGAAGACTGTTAGAGAAATAATTAGAAGCTGAACATTATTGTAAAGAAAGTTAGCTTAGAGATAGATAGATAGATAGATAGATAGATAGATAGATAGATAGATAGATAGATAGATAGATAGATAGATAGATAGATAGAGACAAAGAAGATAGGTAGACAGACAGACAGACAGACAGACAGACAGAAGGAAGATGATACATGATGATGGATGGATGGATGGATGGATGGATGGACGGACAGATAGCTAGATGATAGTTGCTTTCCATGTCATGGGAATTTGATAGATAGAAGACAGACAGACAGACAGACAGATGGTAAGTAGGTAGGTAGGTAGGTAGATAGACAGACAGACAGACAGACAGACAGACAGACAGACAGATGGTAGAATGATAGATAGGTAGATAGATAGACAGACAGACAGAGACAGACAGACAGACAGACAGATGGTAGATAAGGATAGATAGGTAGATAGATAGACAGACAGACAGAAAGACAGAGACAGACAGACAGACAGATGGTAGATAATGATAGGTAGATAGACAGACAGACAGATATGAATGATAAGTAGACAGAGAAATGATACATAATGATAGATGATGATAGATGATATATGTAGATATACTGTTTCTAAATATTGGTCAAACAAGCAAATGCAGACATTTTTGTAACCTCTACAGAGGTCCATCATATAAAAGCCTTTTGAGAGAACACATTACAAGTTCTCTTCTACTTTTCAAAAAGTACTTTCAAAAAATTGAGCTGCTCAAAGTTCAACTACACGTTGGCTAATTGAACCACAGACTATATTCTGAGAATGAGGTCATTCTTCCTGTTTCGTTGTTAGGTCATTGTTCTTTCCCTGCTGTGATCCTCTGAGTAATTCTACAGAAATATGTCTGTTGTCCATTAAATGTCCTTATTAGGTTTCTGTCTCAAATATTATTATTTGCTTCTCCTTCCCACCCACCCCCCAAAGTTGATAAAGATGCAGGCAAAGATCAGATTTTTTCCCTCCAGAAACAGTTATTTTGCTACCTTCTTCTCTTTTTAGTCCTTGACATGCAACCACAGCTGAGCTCAAAATTTCCATTGCTAAGCAAGACAGCTGTTAAGTGACGTTGGCTCCATTTTACAACTGGCTCATATTTATGACGGTTGCAATGTCCTGGGGTCATGTTAGAATAGAATAGAATAGAATAGAATAGAATAGAATAGAATAGAATAGAATAGAATAGAATAGAAGAAATTGATTGAAGAATAAGAATAGAATAGAATAGAATAGAATAGAATAGAATAGAATAGAATAGAATAGAATAGAATAGAATAGAATAGGAGAAATTGATTGATTGAAGAATAGAGTAGAGTAGAGTAGAGTAGAATAGAATAGAATAGAATAGAATAGAATAGAATAGAATAGAATAGAATAGAATAGAAGCTGGAAGGGACCTTGGAGGTCTTCTAGTCCAGCCTCCCGCTTAAGCAGGAGAACCTACACAGTCTCAGACAGGTGAGTGACCCTCGGATAAGCCAAGTCCTCACTTAATAACCGTGTTGCTAAATGAAAAGCTGCAGGGATTTCACTTAAGAACTGTGGCAGGAAAGATCGTAAAATGGGGGCGAAATTCCCTTAACAACCCTCCTCCTTAGCAACAGAAACTTTGAGCTCGGCTGTGGTCATAAATTGAGGAACCTTCCCAGGAGACAAAAGTCAAGAGTTGCAATTTGGACACTCTCTCCCCTTCTGGCTTTCTGCCAGCGTTTTCCTTCCTCTTTTCCTCCTCTTTTAAAAGAAATATATATTTTATGTCGATTTTATATTATACGTATCTACCTTGCAGGTGCCTGAGATTATTAGCACCATCAGACAAGCAGGGAAGATCGCCCGTCAGGAAGAACTTCAGAACCAACTTTCGGATGTCGAGGATCATTTTAGCAAGAAGTTTGAGGTGCTGTTTTGCGGCCGGGTGACCGTAGCCCACAAAAACGCGCCTCCGGCCCTGATAGACGAGTGCATCGAGAAATTTAACGATGTGAGTTATACCAAAAAACTGGACGCGCCTCATCCAAATGACACCGCCGATCACGCCTCAAGTGGATTTTCCATAAGTGACAAATTCCTCTCGGTTTTCCAGCCTCTGGTGAGCGAGGAACAGGCCGCTCAACCTATGAGGAAATCTTACTCTCAGCCTGGACTCCGTTCTTTTGCTTTTAAAAGGGACTTGCAGACCTGGAGCCTGAAGGGTAACAGCTTGGCCAGATCCTTGGATGATGACGAGGTCCTAACTCTGAACTTAAAAAGTCAATTTATCCAGGGGCAAAACGTACAGCCGACGGATATCGCCGGGAACCGGATTATGTTGTTCACGGTAAAAAGCCTGGTTTTGTTTGCTTGGCCTTCCCCGATCGTCCATTGTGTTGCTAATCGTTGAAATGCTGCAGTTAATGGGCAATGAAGGAAGTTTGATTTTCGGTTTAGAATCAAATCGGCCCACCTCTTGGGATCCTTGAAGTCAGATTCAGCTCATCATCAGCTGGGATGGTGGCCTATAACTTTAGGATAGGGGAGTTTAGGATAGTTTAGGATAGGGTAGGGTGGAGTGGAGTGGAGTGGAGTGGAATGGAATGGAATGGAATGGAATGGAATGGAATGGAATGGAATAGAATAGAATAGAATAGAATAGAATAGAATAGAATAGAATAGAAGAATAGAATAGAATAATAATGGAAAATAGAATAGAATAGAATAGAATAGAATAGAATAGAATAATAATGGAATATAGAATAGAATAGAATAGAATAGAATAGAATAGAATAGAATAGAATAGAATAGAATAATAATGGAATATAGAATAGAATAGAATAGAATAGAATAGAATAGAATAGAATAGAATAGAATAGATGGAATGGGATAGGATAGAATAGAAATAGAATAGAAATAGGAATAGAATAGAATAGAATAGAATAGAATAGAATAGAATAGAATAGAATAGAATAGAATAGAATAATGGAATGAATAGAGCAGAGCAGAACAGAACAGAATAGAATAGAATAATGGAACGAATAGAGCAGAACAGAACAGAATAGAATAGAATAATGGAACGAATAGAGAGTAGAATAATAGAATGAATAGAACAGAATAGAACAGAACAGAATAGAATAACAGAGTTGGAAGGGAATTTGGAGGTCTTCTAGTCCAACCCCCTGCTCATGCAGGGGGTTTTAGTCTGGGCTACCTACCTAATCTTGGAAATTTCAGTAGGAGTTTTCCAGTCTCGGTTATAATGAGTTAATGAAGGCAGAGTCCATTTGGGTCTTTGGAAATCTTTCTCGGGACGTTTTTTCCCAGGCTAAGCTGAGTGGCTGTTTCTGAGGTAAATTATTAGCTGATTCACCTACTGCCCTCTGTTCCATTGATTTCCTAGGACAAGGGCCCTCTCTAGCAGATGAAATGTAGGTGATGCTGACCTTAAGTGTGAAGCTTCTTTCAAGGCAGCTGGGTAACCCCACGGCTTCCTGGAATGGATGTAGCATTTCTTTTAGTTTAAGGAAATGGGTTATGGTGTAATAAAAAAAAATACTTCTGACCTTACACTTCCTTCTTTATTGAGCAACTGGCAACTGTCCCTACTTATGAGGAATTAAGGTTAGGTCAAATAAGGAGGCCCTGGTTTTAGAAGATTAGATTAGATTAGATTAGATTAGATTAGATTAGATTAGATTAGATTAGATTAGATTGGAGTAGAATAGAATAGAATATAATAGAATAGAATAGAATAGAATAGAATAGAATAACAGAGGTGGAAGGGACCTTGGAGGTCTTCTAGTCCAACCCCCTGCTCAGGCAGGAAACCTACCATTTCAGACAAATGTTGTCCAGTCTCTTCTTAAAAGCCTCCAGTGATGGAGCGCCCACAACTTCTGGAGGCAAGTCGTTCCACTGGCTAATTGTTCTCACTGTCAGGAAATTTCTCCTTAATTCCAGGTTGCTTCTCTCCTTGATAATAATAATAATAATAATAATAATAATAATAATAATAATAATAATAATAATAATAATAATGATGATGATGATGATGATGATGATGATGATGATGATGATGATGATGATGATGATGATGATGATGATGATGATGATGATGATGATAATGTTGGAAGGGACCTTGGAGGTCATCTGGTCCAACCCCCTGCTCAGGCAGGAAACCCTATACCATTTTAGGACAAATGGCTGTCCAGTTTCTTCTTAAAAACTTCCAGTGTTGGAGCATTCACCGCTTCTGGAGGCAGGTTGTTCCCCTGGTTAATTGTTCTGACTGTCAGGAAGTTTCTCCTTAGTTCTAGGTTGCTTCTCTCCTTGATTAGTTTCCATCCGTTGCTTCTTGTCCTGCCTTCAGGTGCTTTGGAGAATAGCTTGACTCCCTCTTCTTTGGGGCAGCCCCTGAGATATTGGAAGGCTGCTATCACGTCACCCCTATTAAACTAGACATACCTAATTCCAGTAATTTGTTATGAAATGGTTATAGTTTATGATGGTACTCCTACACGCAAACCCCCAAGTTGCTTTCTGTTGCTTTGTACCAACCTCTTCTAAGAGTCCGTCATGGAAATATGTTGGATAACTAGGGTGGAAGAGGACCTTGAGATAGGATCCTATCAAATAAGACATGCCTCCCAAAAAGGTCCTTGTAATCTTGCAATTCACCCAGACCTTTTCATTCCATTATACCATCTCAGCTGCCAAAGCTGTGTTGTAAATTTGGAGAGGTTATCAATGTTGATGCTTTTGTGGCTACCATTTTATGTGGTATGCTGTCCTTCCATTGTTCTGATTTGTGATGGAACCCATTAAGGAAATGTTATCATATTAGAAAAATAAAACACCAACAGAAGAGAATATTTATAGCTCAGGGTTGAACTGTGGGGTCCTTGGTGCTCTCCGAGCTTCGTGGTTTTTTGGGTGGCACGGATGATGTTACCTAGCTTGGTCATGAAACGTCTGCAAGAAAACCACCAAGCTCAGAGAACACTCTACAATAGAAAAAGCAAAGCAAAACCACTTACCAGTTCCATCACATACACGTGAAGTGTTAATACCACTTTACAAAGCCTTGGTAAGGCCACCCTTGGAATACTGCATCCAGTTTTGGTCACCACGATGTAAAAAAGATGTTGAGACTCTAGGAAGAGTGCAGAGAAGAGCAACAAAGATGATCAGGGGACTGGAATCTAAAACATATAAGGAACGGTTGCTGGAATTGGGTCTGTCTAGTTTAATAAAGAGAAGGATGAGGGGGGACATGATAGCAGTCTTCCAATATTTGAGGGGCTGCCCCAAAGAAGAAGGAGTCAAGCTATTCTCCAAAGCACCTGAAGGCAGGACAAGAAGCAACGGATGGAAACTAATCAAGGAGAGAAGCAACCTAGAACTAAGGAGAAACTTCCTGGCAGTTAGAACAATTAACCAGGGGAACAACCTGCCTCCAGAAGCGGTGAATGCTCCAACAGTGGAAGTTTTTAAGAAGAGACTGGACAGCCATTTGTCCAAAATGGTATAGGGTTTCCTGCCTGAACAGGAGGTTGAACTAGATGACCTCCAAGGTCCCTTCCAACTTTATTCTTATTATTATGGATCATTGCACAGTCAGCCAGATGTTCAGACTGGATTTGGCATTTTTGTCTACCTATCGAGTCCTTCCCAAGGACCTGGGATAGGCAGATGTGTATGTTTGATGGTATTACAGATATCCTCGCAGGATGGAAGCAGTTCCTAGTAAGGCCGCCTTTTGCAATTGACTAATGGCGAATTTGTCAATGCCGATGATGGTGTTCAAGTGGTGCTCCAGTTGTTCTGGGATTGCACCCAAGGCGCCTATTACTATTGGTACTACTACTACTACTACTACTACTACTACTATTATTATTATTATTATTATTATTATTATTATTATTATTATTATTATTATTATTAAGCTGTTTGCTCGGGAGAGCAGTCCCAACATATTGGGCTTTTCAGAGTTTTGCCAGAACTCAGCTCACCGTGCAATTGGCGGCGAGCTCTTAACACACCTAACACCGACGAAGAGTTTCCAAGTAAAATATAAGCAGCAGCGAGTAAAACCGGCCCATTAAAAATGCATTCAACGGATTATGAGGTAACGTCTCCCGGTCTCCTTGCTTCAGACCCGTGACATGTACGGTAGCCTGGCAACACGTGGCTCAAACAGTCGCCGTCCCAAAATTGCAGCCTTGAATGAATACATGATCTGTACGGTCATGTTATTTCCAACAGGTGTCTGTTTATCCCATTCACTTTACCTGCCCTTTAAAGCAGTTTGTATAAAAGCTAAAAACGGTCCCTGGTGATACTGCCTGGCACCAAAGCGAGATGTATGTAAATCAGACTTCTAGTTTGGAAATCCTTCAAACTATTTAAGATTTAGGTTTTGCTCCGGGAAACGGTGTAAAGAGGAAAACAAATTGTGGAGGCTGTACTTATGGGAAATAACTCCATTAGAGTTTAGCTTCTTGTGGATCTTGTCGTTTCCTTTTACAGCGCATCTGACATCTGGGTGTGTGAATGCTCCCACTTAACTTCGGAGTAGGGGCCATCGAACAGGGAGTAAATTCAATAAATAATAATAATAATAATGTCCAACGCTTCCTTCTTCTTTGAAGCCGATAACGAATAATTGCCTATGAATTTTATTTATTTGTATCCCATCTTTGTTATTATTGTCGCAAATAACATTGGAGGCAGCAAACAGGTTCAACACACCTTCCCTCACAACAACCCTGTGTGGTGGGTTGGGCTGAAAGGCCAACCTAAGGAGCGACTAGAACTCACCGTCTCCTGGTGATTGGCCCAAAGTCACTCAGCCGGCTTTCATGCCTAAGGCGGGATTAGAACTCACCTTCTCCTGGTGATTGGCCCAAAGTCACCCAGCCAACAGAGTTGGAAGGGACCTTGGAGGTCATCTAGTCCAACCACTGCTCAGGCAGGAAACCCTATACTATTTCGGATAAATGGCTGTCCAGTCTCTTCTTAAAAACTTCCAGTGTTGGAGCATTTACAGCTTCTGGAGGCAGGTGGTTCCACTGGTTAATTGTTCTGATTGTCAGGAAGTTTCTCCTTAGTTCCAGGTTGCTTCTCTCCTTGATTAGTTTCCATCCGTTGCTTCTTGTCCTGCTTTCAGGCGCTTTGGAGAATAGCTTGACTGCCTCTTCTTTGGGGCAGCCCCTCAGATATTGGAACACTGCTATCGTGTCCCCCCTCGTCCTTCTCTTCATTAAACTAGATGTTTGGAAGGGACCCTGGAGGTCATCTAGTCCAACCCCCTGCTCAGACATGAATATACTATTTCAGACAAATGGCTATCCAGTCTATCACAGCTTCTGGAGGCAGGTTGTTCCACTGATCAATTGTTCTCACTGTCAGGAAGTTTCTCCTTAGTTCTAGGTTGCTTCTCTCTTTGGTTAGTTCCCATCCGTTGCTTCTTGTCCTGCCTTCAGGTCCTTTGGAGAATAGCTTGACTCCCTCTTCTTTGGGGCAGCCCCTGAGATATTGGAAGACTGCTATCATGTCCCCCCTCATCCTTCTCTTCATTAGACTAGACATACCCAATTCCAGCAACCGTTCCTTGTATGTTTTAGCCTCCAGTCCCCTGATCATATTTGCTGCTGTTCTCTGCACTCTTTCTTACCAAGCAATTGATGTGGGCCAGATGGGGACACCCTAAGACCCATGGGCTGTGAGATACACAGGTCTGATCTATTTCAAGCCCAAAAGATGAGCGAGCAGGAAAGGATCTACGAACAACCGTATCGTCAGGATGGGCAGGCAAATAGTTGAGCTCTTTTTTACAAAGAAGAGCCGTTCAGCATAAACCACAATGACGTGAGAATGATGGCACGCATATTGCCATGTCACAACGCCGGCCGTCTTCTTCGCGTACTTAATGGGCAAACGCAGCGAGGGCAGAATTTGCAAGCCTCGCTGTATCGTTTCCAAACACGGTGGTCACGTGACATTTGTTTAGCCGGCTTAATCGATGTTTCGACGTCAGCAAATCTGTGGTTCAATAAATAGCATTTATGCCCTTATCAAATGCCCTTAAATAGCATTTTACATCCTCCTCCCTTGCGTCCTGCTTACGCAGAGCGTTCCAGGTATCCTGACTCAAAATGCTGATCGCAATAATGGGGATCGTGTTTTGGCTGCATAATAAAAGCTTATTAACATTGTGGTTTTTTTTATCATTTTTCAGATTGGGCAGTCCGAAGTTTACATCATTAGTCCTGAGACCAAAAAAGTAGTCATTGAGAAGAGCTTTAAAGAAATTTCTTTTTGCTCACAGGTATTGACTTTTTTGTTTCTTTTTTCTTTTCTTTTTATTCTTTTGTCTCTGATTGATTTCTCTGTTGTTTTTTTCACACGTTACCCTCGTCGTCATGATCACTGGATTTTTGTTTCGTTGTGAAACAAAATCCCATTGGTGTTTTGGCTGTTTAATTAAACGACCACTCGATTACAGTTTTATACAGATAGTCCCTGACTCGTCGCAGTTTGTTTAGCAACTGTTCCAAATTACGACGGCGCTGAAAAAAAGGGATTTACAACCATTTTTTCATACTTGCAACTGGTTCGTTTTTACGACGGATTGCAGCGTCCCCTGGGGGATCATGAAGCTGGGGGATTTTTTGCCCCCAGATTGTCCAAAGAATAGATGCAAATCATGCAATTCCGTGGGAATCCTCTCATCCTGAATGGGTTGGCTGCCAATAATGAACATACTTATAAAAGAAACTTCAAAACACGTTAGCCTAAATCCCAGAACGGTTATTTCTAAAGGAAATCTGTCATAAATTAGAAAGAGCTTCTTTGAGACCGTTTCCTGTTGTCTGAGAATATTTCTGAGTCAGCCCTGAGTCCCTTTGCCCTCAAGGTCAAATTCTCTTTTTCTTTTTTTTTCAGGCCAGCTGGAAATAAAATCTTAATTTTCCTACTCCCAGTTCACTTAATGGTTAGCTCGTAGCTCAGGCGTTGGAAGAGAATATTTATACCCGACATCTTAAAATCTGTCGATAAAGCAAGGCAGATGCTACAACCTGCCTCTTGATTTGGAGGCTCGCCGTAAGATTTGTGGACCATGTTCTCTTATCTTAAGGCCTCACCGTTGAAAAATTATCGGTTATTTCCTTTTTTTTTTCCTGTTCAGAACTGTTCTTCACACTTACGGACGTTGCAGCGTCCCCAGGGTCACGTGATCAAAATTCGGACGCTTGGCAACTGACTCGTATTTATGACGGTTGCGGTGTCCCGGGGTCACGTGATCCCCTTTTGTGACCTTCTCACAAGCAATGTCAGTGGGGGAAGCTAGCTTTGCTTAATGACCGTGTTCCTAACTTAATGGCTGATTCACTTAAGAAGCGTGGCAAGCAAAGTCGTAAAGTGAGGCAAAACTCACTTAACAATCGTCTTGCTTAGCATATGGAATTTTGGGGTCGTAAAGCAAGGACTCTGTGTATTGCTTACTGCGACCCGTGCTATTTATACCTGTTCCTTTACAAACATTTGATGCAACGAATTTTGTCTTTGCAGGGGATTAGGCACGTGGATCACTTTGGATTTATCTGCAGGGAGCCTTCCAAAAACGGAGGCTTCCATTTTGTGTGTTATGTATTCCAGTGTGCAGAGGAAGCCCTGGTAAGAATTGGACAAGCTGGCAAAAAGATTGTATTATTTGAAATGCTTTGAGGGGTTTGCAATCCACCCGTTCGTCCGGCACAAAATTAGGGATCGTAGACCGGCCTGGGGGCTAGAAGACTTTGCAAAAAAACCCGCTTAAGATGAGTCTCTGTTAAGTCCTCTTCCTGAATTCATCGGTTTAAAGGAGCAGGAGCAGCTCCCAGTGGTGAAAGCTGACTGTGATTTGATTGTTTTTAATCTCTAAATTGTTATTTTAGCACAAGAGCTCGTAGCTGTGCAGAGTGCCAATGCTGAATTTGCAGCAAAGTGGCTGTTTGTTGCATATATATTTTTTGCATACATCCAGACTAGACTGTGTTTCTCTGGGCCACTTATGCATGTATATGTGGGTATATGTATAATTTAATTTAATTTATTTTATTTGTCATGTTTATGCAGTGTATATTGGAGTGGTTACATAAGAAATCTCATTGTAATGTATGCTGATTAATGTACATTTAAATTGACAATAAAGTTATTCTACTCTACTCTACTCTACTCTACTCTACTCCACTCCACTCCACTCCACTCCACTCCATTCCATTCCTACTCTATTCTATTCTATTTCTACTCTACTCTATTCTACATTCCATTATTCTACTCTACTCTACTCTACTCTATTCTACATTCCATTATTCTATTCTACTCTACTCTACTCTACTCTACTCTACTCTACTCTACTCTACTCTATTCTACATTCCATTATTCTATTCTATTCTACTCTACTCTACTCTACTCTACTCTACTCTATTCTATTCTATTCTATTCTATAATATTCTATTCTATTCTATTCTATTCTATTCTATTCTATTCTATTCTATTCTATTCTATTCTCTGTTCTCTGTTCTCTATTCTCTATTCTATTCTATTCTATTCTATTCTCTGTTCTCTATTCTATTCTATTCTATTCTATTCTATTCTATTCGCATATTGCTCTCCTGGATTTTGATTGGCTCCAGCTATGCTCTTGCACAACTTAATTAGAAAGATCTGGGGCGTGTTGGTGAAGTTATTTTTGTTTGATTAGGCTTTTTAACTCACGGTTTTCACATCAGGGTTTCAGGACAATGATCTAGAACGCCAAACAGAATACAGAAGACACCGAAATCAGCAGCGATAATCTATTAAAAGAACAAGAATAAGCAGTAAAACCAAGTGGCATGTAACCTTCCCAAAAAAAATAATCAATTTCATTTTAAAGAGTTAAAGATAGCTTCTTCAAAGCAGAATCAGCCCTGTACCTGAAACTTCACCTCCTTGGGTTTGGATGCTACAATTAAAGGAGAACTTTTTAAGAAGTCGTCGATCAGATTAGGAACTCTATAAAGTCCAATTTAAATCCAATGTGGTAATGCCAATTTTTCTACAAGGCTTTCTTCTTC